TGTACTATTAATATTGACATTATTGTGACCACCTGTGTTCCCTGGTGTTAAAGTTGCCTATATTGTCTTCTAGACTCTGACATTAACTGTGGAGCTGATGTGGGGTGGCTTCCACCACCCCCCCTGTCCCCTCCATTGCAAAACCCATGATGTCTTGTGTAGTGCTGTGACAATGTGAGGTGTACTGTGTAAGTATTAAACTGATGTGATGTGGGGTGGCTTCCGCCACCCCCTATTCCATCCCTCCCAACACCCATAGATGCCCATATCATTGAGTCACTGAGTTGTCATTGTAGCAGTAGCCTGGCAATTCTCTATCTCTATTATTGTGACCACCTGTGGTGACATTGCATTATCAATCTGTCTAGGCACTATTTCCATTGTTAAAACCACATATGTCAGGCTTTCAAATGTGGGGCGCAGTCTGTTGTCCACGAATTGTATCACCATTAGCCTTCTGTCCATTGTCGTTTGAAGCTCCTCCCAGTTGATCTTGATCCATTGTCCAGGTGTGGGTGGTGGCTTCGACTTTTATCTCCAGGGCGTACTCCTTTATGCTTCTGCTGTAGTGGGATGTCCCTTCTTGACCATCTGTCTGAAATCGAATTGGGGGTGGATATGGATGGAGGCGGAGGACTATGGGTTAGGTGTGGGGGAGGGTGTGGGGGAAGGTTTTGGGTAGGGTTTGGATAGGGAGATGAAGGGGAGGGGGGGGGGGGGGGGGGGGGGGGGGGGGGGGGGGGGGGGGGGGGGGGGTGTGCGGGAAGGCATTTGGGGAGTCTTCTTCTTCTTCTTCTTCTTCTTCTTCTTCTTCTTTTTAAGCTATATTCTTCTCTCAATTCCACCTCACAATGGCTCCTTTTCTTTAGGTGGGTCTGTTTTTTTTTTTTGGTTTGTGAGGTCTTTTTCCAGGCCTGTGGCATCTTTGTTTTCCAGGGTCCGGTGATATCAGAGCAGCGGTCTAGATTTGGCCATCTCTGTGTCTGGATTACACACCGACGCCTGCACCTAAGCTGGATATAGGTCCTAGAATTGTTTGTTTTGTTTCTCCCGGTTGTTTGTTGAGGATTCCCGGCCTCCCTCTTCGTGTGCGTGATCAAACGAGCTGAGTCTTCTTTTGTGAAAAAAAAAAAAAAAAAAAGGAAACAAAGAAAAAGGAAAAAAAAGGAATGGTGCTACACACCTCAATAAACCCAGCAGATGTGAAAATATGGTTCAAAACAGCTTTGGAGAAGTAGTAGG